AGATGGAACTAGAGTACCTTACATAACCTGCAGTAAGTGATAACTGTTAATGATTAATGTGGTGAAAGATGAAACACTGACTGCACTAAGTAAGTACTTCTTCTTCGTAATACATTAGTGAGTTCTAACCTGACGTCCAGTGGTCCCTATCCCGGTCAGGTTGCTCTGTTTCATGGTGAGTGGTCTTCTGAAGGATTGCTGCAGGTGTATCTCAACAATCGTTGGGGTACTGTCTGTTCTGAGTTCTTCACACTAGCCAATGGTGACTCCGTCTGTCAGCAGTTGGGTTACACTAATGCTCTTTATTACAGCCCTTACTCTCAGTAAGAGACCAGCACTACACCTATTCTACCCATGACGTGTTATTAATTCATTTATTCATTAAAGGTATAGTATCAGGTGGATTTGGTTAAGAGAGCTCAATGCTACCTGCAACTCCAGCTGCTTTAAAGACTGCTACATGGCACCAACCATTAGGAACATATACTGCAGTAACCGTGACGATGTCTACCTTGTATGCAGTAAGTATTAATTTTATGATATTTTATGATAATGTTTTGGTAGCTTTTGATACTACAAGATATGATAGTTCACTGCCGTATGGAAGGAATTGTTCATTAGGTATTTTGTTTAACCATTATTCATAATTTTTATTTCATTCCCCCATAGAGTATGGTACTCTCACTGCTGCCTTCATTGCAGTACTGATGATACTGTTCTGTCTGATAGTCTCTGTTTATATTATTATATTCATAATGAGGGTTGTAGTGGCGGCCTATCATAAGACAGAGCACTATAAACTAAAGGACAAGCGCCACAGAAATAGGAGACATGATTTTGATGAATATCGCTCCAGTCTTGATGAGAATTCAATGATACTCAGTAATGACTATACAGTGAAAGACTAAATGACCTCTCTTTACCTCCAAACACAATGTCTTTTTAAAACAAATTTTATTGAGTGATAATAGCTTTCTAAAAATCCACGTGGTTGAAATAGCCGTACATAACCATTCCGTTTACTCTAACCACGTGGTTGATATATCTGCATATCCGGAGAAGATAAGTAGTTTATTTCAACCACGTGCTCGCATTTCCTTGCCCTTGCCACTCCTATTATCTACTGAACTGGTGTCAGCAGATATGAGCCCTGTCCTTCTCCTTGTTCTAACATGCCTATCAGTTCTTTCAGTAATCAGTTTATCTGCAGGTAATGGTGTGTTTATTCTGTTCACTGTTAGACTGTATCTCTAATAGATGCTCTATTGTATGCTAATGGTGATGTGAGACTCAACAGGAATGGATCTGTTTCAATTGATAACACACTAGGAGTCCTTGAGGTGTATATCAATGACGAGTGGGGCACTGTCTGCTCTGATGGGTTCAGTACTGGCTCTGCAGCTGCTGTTTGTAGACAGTTAGGATACCTTGACAGTCAAAGTTACGGACTCCCTTCAAAGTACAAGTAAGTGGTACAGTTTATTGTAACCTGTACAAACCTACCTCTAAAATGAGCGAACCTCTGACATAATGT